GAACCAGCTGGATGCGACATCCCCATGCGTTCGCTTGCTCCTTTCACAGGCTTCGCAAATAATAAAGTCACGATTAAGTGCAACAAAGGCTCTAAATCCTGCAGCGAGGACCCCCGCGGTGGCTGCCGGCGGGATCTGTGCGCCTGTGGCTTAGCACCCAGTACCACCCCCGAGGAGGCCAGCGCAGGCAGCGTGAGTCGCAGCAGATGAAGGCCGCCCGGCCCCAGGCTGCAGCAAGCACCTGGCCGGTGTGGACGGCAGTGAGTGAGCAGCGCTGAGGACCTCAACACCCGCTGCCCGCGCTGCCCAAGGGTGGGGCCACTAATGGATGCCTCTGCTGCCAGCACACAAGCGCTGGGCACTGCAAGACCGAGCAGGGCTGGGCAAGTCCAAGTCCAGCTGCACCAAGGAGAGGGGGCTGGAAGCCACACCGGGGACAGAGCTGCCCGGGTCAAACTGTGATGCTGCAGCAGGGTCCGGGAGCAGTGGGAGCTGCAGACTAGTCTCCCCATCTCACCCACAGCTCCGAATTACCACCTCCAGCGCCCAGAGGCGGCAGCTTCAGTCCCAGCGTGGTGGGGAAGGCACAGCTGCAGCACCAGGTAAGGCTGATGGGCGAGCCCAGAGCACAGGGCAGGACCACGCCAGGGCTGGAAGCAGCACCGGGGACCAGGCTGCACCCCCTTCGACAGCCGCATCCATCCAGAGCGCAGGGAACACCACGCAACACGCTGGTGCAGCCCCAGGGCAGAGATCATGGGAAGGTGAACCTCCGTGCAGAGCCCGGCTGCCTGCCACGGGCATGAACTGACAGGGATGGCCCTGCGGCACCGTCACACAGCACTTCAGACAGCCGCACCACCTGAACCTCCCACATGTGATGCCCCCTGCCCGCAAGCACCGAAGCATGTCTGCGCCAGGCCCTTGCACGCACATGCTGCAAACAACATGCAAAAGCCAACCTGCGCTTGCAGGCGCCGCTGTGTTCACATGTACAAACACCGTGCAGGGACCAACGGGGGAGAAAACAAGCACGACCATGTTCCTCCTCTGACCAGCCTCCCTCTGCTTTCCAAGCGCAGGCTTCTGGGAGGCAGACAAGGCTATTTAGAAATTCTTTAATTGCATTTGAGAAGGACAAAGTCAGAACAGGTTTGACCCGAAACAAAGGTTTTGTAAGAGGAAGCTTTTAAATCGCGTAACGCCTCCATGCAAATACACTCAGAAGTCAAAGGTTTTCCCCTGCAGCCTTTGCAACCCGAATCCCGCTGCCTGGGGCTAGTGCCCACAGATGACAATGGAATTTGCTAGAAAGCAATTATAAATAAAAGTGAAACAACTGCCCGTGTTTCCCTATCAAAGTGAAGAGCAATCCAAACTGTAACAGCCCAAAATACAGTGCGTGCAACCCATACCTTGAGGCCCAGTGCTGCAAAACCGAATCCATGCAAGTAGGAACAGAGCTGGGGAACTTGGCTAATTCTCATTTTTAAGTAACAGCCACAGTTGTTGTTTGAAACAGGAGCAAGGACATCTGCGCCTATAGGCTCTCCCTGCCCTGCCAACAGCCCCTGCAAACACCTCCTGCAAGAACGGCTAGCTTCATCCGGAGGAAAGTTTTTAAAACTCGCCTCATTTTAGCAACAGCTTCTTCATCCAGGGCATGAAATCATCACGGTATCGCATTATACCGGGTCAGTGCACCAACAGCAAGGGGCAAACGCCTCTTCTATGTTGCAGGGACAAAGCTGGCATTTGCTGTATGTAAAATGGCGAGGCTCTTTAAGCCGCGCATTTCTAGCTTCGAGCCACTCTCCAGCCAGCGTTCCCTGCAGGGGACCCAGCCTGGGTCACGCTACCCAACGTCTCGCTGAAGCCAACCCAGCCACGCAGCATGCACGGCAGGGCCGAATCTGGTCCAGCCTATTCGAAATTTAATGGGCTGCGCTTTGTGCTGTAGCCACAGCTATGTCAGCACTTCCAGGGCTCGTCCTGAGACCCATCGTCCCCCCACCCAGCCTTCCCGTGGGCTGGACCGCAGCCAACAAGGTCTCAGCCCAGGAACAGCATTCAAGACTCCTGTTCCCGATTTTTACAGCGTCAGGCGCTGAGGCCAGTCAGCCCCAGGAAGCAGCTGGCACTCGGGATTTTGAAAAATGATGTGGAACGGCCGCGATCTCCAGCTCCGTGAAGGGTGTGCGCGCAGGCTCGCGGCCAGCCCCCCAGAACAGAGGAGGGGGAGCACCAAGGGTCCCCTCAAGACACTCAGCAAAACCCAGGGATGCCTCCAAGCTGAGCATCCTGGGGAGCGGGGCCCAGGGCACGTGGCTTGGGAGCCTGGAGCTGGCAGCACTGCTGGAGCACCCGTGTCCCGGAGATGGAAACGAGCCCCAGGGAAAGAGCCTGAATTTGAAACGTCCCCAGGAGAACATCAGGCTGCAGCGTGTGCCTGTCATTAGGAGGCAGGGTGTTACCGATGGCCTATTGCTGGCTCTGCAGAACCAGGGAGAGATGCAGCTCCTGGTTCCCCAGGCCATGCCGCCAGATGGGGAGGCAGGGAGGCCTGGCCCCTGCTGCTCACAGGCCCTGCCCTGCCCTGCCCTGCCCAGCCCAGCCCAGCGGTTCACCCCTTCCTCCCCGAGCGAGCTGTCGGCATCGCCGGGCTGCCTGCAGCACTCTGCCCATTTAGAGGGCAGGAGGGAGCAGGAGGAGAAACCCCCTCGCTCCCAAAACTTCACAGCAGGTTCAGAGCCTGGCAGGGAACAAAAGGCAGAGTTGGGGCGGCCACTCCATCCCTCCCCGGCGGCGCTGGCAGGTACTGCAAAACCCTCCGGCCTGGGCTCTCGGCTGAGGGGCGCTGGGTCCTCAGAGCTTCCCGGCATTGGGCCCCAAGGCCCCGCGGCACCCAGGCAGAGGACGCACGAGACTTGTCCGAGGCACCGGTGGCCACAGCCCACGCCGCCCACACAGAGAGACGGCTCCCGAGCCTGAGGAACCTGGGCGTGAAGCGGGAGAGCACCCGTTTCAGCAGTTATTTTTACTTTACTATTAGAAACGGCTGCTCGGGAGGGACGGAGGGAGGGGGGGACGTTGCCCGGCTGCAAGAGGACGCGGGAAGCATCTCGAGCGCGGGGCTCTGCCAGGGGCCGGGGCAGCCAGGAGCTCGAGGGCGGGCTGGCACCAAGGGGCCAGGCCCACGACTGCGCCACCTACCTCGGGGGCAATGGCAGCAG